GATGGTCACCTGGCTGGGATTTCTGGGAGTTGAAGTCCAAAACACCTGAAGGGCAAAAGTTTGCCCATGCTTGATCTATACTGTATAATTAATACAGTTTGACTCTAACTACCATGGCCCAGTGCCATAGAATAACATGAGCTGTAGTTTTAAAAGATTGCTGGGGTCTCAGGAAACTACAACTCCCAAGACTCCATAGCATTGAGCCATTGCTGTTAAAGTGGCATTGACCTTCATTAATTCTACAGTGCAGATGCACTTCTAGTGTATCTAAAATAGTGAAAAAGAGGCCAAAGTATGCCCTGTGTCCTATATTCAGGCCTGTGAGTATTTCTGCAGCTTCCATTCATCATGAGGTCTCTTCTCACCATTGAGCTATTTGAGGTGAATTGAGGCCAATGTCTTTTTAATAGTCTGACATAATCATAAGAGAACCCACCCCCCATGCACACACGCACACACAGAGCTATCTGGGTAGAATTGTTTGCCATCTATGTTTCACTCCCACCCAAGTTACAAATAATCAAGGTCAAGTTGTAGATTAGTTAGAGATGGCTTATGGTCAAACTATCCCACCATTTGTGATGAGACGCTGCATCTTGTTCAGTCCAACAAGATGCCCATAACAACATTTAAGCTGCCATGCGCTTTGTTTATAATTTAATGAGGGACAGCTTTGCTTAACTGTAACTTTTATAGGAATGGGCGGGTGGCTTGGCTAAATGGCGGAGGAGGAATAACTCAGATGGGCTGGAATTCTGTGGATGCTTTCAGCTGGGATAAACTCTGTTGTGCAAGGAATTGTGCTTTTTAGGACATTGTGCAAGGGTCATATTCTAATCAGAGTTGTGCAAGTACAACAATGGCTTAACCCGCTTAGGATTGTGTTGCTTAGGTCATTGTGCAGTCAGTCCCCAGCACGGACCAGTGATACGTAACTACACACAGCTTAGTTTCCAAATTAGTGCACAATGACACAGTCCCATTGTAGCACCAGCATAACACTGGCATAACATTACCATACACAATTAATTCACAGGATCCTATTCTTGTTTTCAACCTTGGCTCATGCTGTGCCTTATGCCCTTGAATGAAAAGGGTGGCAGTTTGAAAAGAAGACATAAAAGGTAATTACTGTAGGCATAGGCAAACTTCAGTCCTCCAGGTGTTTGGGATTGCAACTCCCACAACTCTTAACAGCCCACCGGCAGGTTACTACTGCTTGTGAAAGTTGAAGTCCAAAATACTTTGAGAGTCTAAGTTTGCCCATCCCTGGTATATAGTCATGTAGAGTTGAGTTGGCTTATCCACAGGTAAATGTCAGTACTGTAGCTTAACTCTTAACAAAAAAAATTGAACCATCTTTGAGTGGAATGGTGAAAAGTAAAAGCTAAGCCCATCTTAGGTAAAGATTTTCCCCTAACTTTAAGTCCAGTTGTGTCTGGCTCTGGGGGTTGGTACTCATCTCCATTTCTAAGCTGAAGAACCAGCGTTGTCCATAGACACCCCCAAGGTCATGTGGCTAGCATGACTTCATGGAGCTCCTGTTACCTTCCCGCCGGAGCGCTACCTATTACTCTACTCATATTTGCATGTTTTCGAACTGCTAGGTTGGCAGAAGCTGGGGCTAACAGTGGGAGCTCATGTTACTCCCCGGATTTGAACCTGTGACCTTTCAGTCAGCAAGTCCAGCAGCTCAGCGCTTTAACCCACTGCGCCATCGGGGACTCATCTTGGGAGTACTTAAAAGAAGCACTAACCCCCTTTCTCCACCTTGGCACTGCTTTTGGCCTTTTTGAATGCCAGGGAAGTAGGACTGACATTGGTGTTTTCCTCTCTTTGTGGAATGGCCCTCAACTTATCCACAGATCATATCAAAATCCATACTCCCCCCCCCTCCCACCCAAAGCTGTCCCCGACTTATACACGAGGTCTGTTTATACACTAGTATATATGATACTTCAGCAACTTTTTAAAAATAGGTAAGAGTGATAATATTTTTAAGATTGTAACTATTCTGGATTGCTACTTGTAACCTCAGAACTATAACTTAACTATTTTAAAAAGTAACTTTCTTAGCTATTTTCTTGCTTGCTAGACAACAGTGGGCAATCTATACAACTAGAAGAATTGTAATACACATTCATGTTTGTAGATTAACTGATAGCTTTATAGGGGGGGGGGGGAGTAAAAAAAATTCAGGACATCTGTGGCCAAGCAACATTCAACTATGGTGAAAATGCATTGAGTCGCCTGATTGGGCTGAAAAATGCGGTATAGAAATAAAGCAAATAAAATAAATAAATAAAATGGTAAAATGTATTAATGAGGAAAGACATGGAAGCAAGGAGAAGTTTGCTTTTGCCTGAGCCTAATGGGAAGAGCAAGTTGTTATCTTATACTTTGTTCTCTCCAACATTTCACAATGGGTCACAGTTGGCCAAACATCAGAGAGGATAAAGATGGCAAATATTAGTAACAAGGATGAATATAGAAGCTAAGACGGGCTGCCGTGGTTTATTTTTGTTTGAGCGTACTGGGAAGCACAAGATCCCACCACCTTCTCTTCCCTCTGCTGAGTTGAATGCAAATTACTTTTGTAGTGACTGATGTAATCTAATGACAAAGGGAAAAAGTAGGAGGAAGAAAGAGAAACCGGGGCATTTTAAAAGCAACTCAAAAACTGAAATGGCAGAGGATTCACTGGGACAGTTGGGGTGTGTACTGAAAAAAGAGTGGGAACTATACTGATACATGCTACTTTCCCAGGTCCCATCTTTATCAACTCAGTAAACAGTCATATAATGCAGTCAAATGTGGTGAAGCCGCATTATACAAGTCTACACTTACCATATAATGCAGTTTCACACTGCACTATATGACAGGGTAGATAGAACCAAATATTATATGTAGAGGGAGTTCTCCATTCTTCCTGTTCCAAAATAATAGCCACATAACTCTCTCTCTGCCCCATAACAATCTCCGTCTGCAGAAGCCTATCAAGAATCAAAGGCATCATATTATTTTATTATGGTAGAAATTAGAGATGTGCAATTAGGCCAAAAGACATGTTGTTTCGGGGTCCATTTTTGGCTAACCCTCATACTGTTTACTGGGAAGTTACTTGAATTGGGAGGAGTGTTGTTTTCATTCAACAAAGGTTCGACCCAGTGGCTATAATGGGAAATTTGAAAGGCTCAATCCTCAGTTATTTTAAGACCTATCTGCATAAAATCTGCATCAGCTTTAGATCCCATTCACAGCTGCAGGCCTGCCAAGTTTCAGAATAATTCACCAATCTACTGATTTTTTATAATTATTTTAAGTTTTTACCATAACATTTTAAAAAATAAGACAAACTGCAAGAGAGTTTTCTGGGACTATAATCACCAGTTGTGTCCATTCTCAGTCAATCAGAGCAAAGACACAACCAGGCCTTTTATTGGCTGAGAAACAGAGAGAGAGAGAGAGAAATTTCAACTCCCATTATACTTGGAGAGGAACTCAGAGACTTTTCAATGCCTACCCCATGCAAGTGCTGCTGGGAAAGCGAGTTCCCAACAGGGCCCTTTCTGGGGGAACTCTTCTGCTGCCTGGGAGAGTGGAAAGATGCTGTAGGATCTTCTCCAGGAGCCCGGGGGAGACCCCTGCCTCAAGTATAAAACAGACTTAACTCCAGTAGCAAATACATCCAGCTGTCTCGATCCATTTTGTCCAGCTTTTTGCTTCCCTCCTCCCCATTATGTTTTCAGGGGATTACATGAAATGGACCCACCGAACATTGCAAATCACTTTCAGTCAAACTGATCTGGGCTCAAGCCCAGCAGAAATTATGTATTCAGAATGATGTATTTTTTTGCAACCCATCTCTAGTGAATTTGAAGTTTCTTAATCTATATAAATAAAAATGTTATGTTCGTTTGTGGGATTAACAGAACTAAAAAACCACTGGACGAATTGACACCAAATTTGGACACAAGACACCTAACAACCCAATGTATGTCCTTCACTCAAAAAAAATTGATTTTGTCAATTGGGAGTTGTAGTTGCTGGGATTTATAGTTCACCTACAATCAAAGAGCATTCTGAACTCTACCAACAATGGAATTGAATTAAACTTGGCACACAGAACTCCCATGACCAACAGAAAATACTGGAAGTATTTGGTGGGCATTGACCTTGAGTTTTGGAGTTGTAGTTCACCTACGTCCAGAGAGCACGGTGCACTCAGTGATGGATCTGGACCAAACTTGGCATCAGTATTCCATATGCCCAACTACAAACACAGGTGGAGTTTGGGGAAAATAGACCTTGAAATTTGGGAATTGCAGTTGCTGGGATTTATAATTCATCTCCAATCAAAGAGCATTCTGAACCCCACCAACAATGGAATTGAACCAAATTTGGCACACAGTTCTCCCATGACCAACAGAAAATACTGGAAGGGTTTGGTGGGCAGTGTCCTTTGGTTTTGGAGTTGTAGTTCACCTACATCCAAAGATCACTGTGGACTCAAACAATGATGGATCTGGACTAAACACTACACAAATACTCAATATGCCCAAATGTGAGCACTGGTGGAGTTTGGGGAAAATAGAATCTTGACATTTGGGAGTTGTAGTTGCTGGGATTTATAGTTCACCTACAATCACAGAGCATTCTGAACCCCACCAATGATAGAATTGGGCCAAACCTCCCACATAGAACCCCCATGTGGGCCACAGCAACACTTGGCAGGGGACGGCTAGTCAAGAATAAGAACAGAGAAACAAATAATGCATGGGAAACCATTATTGCACTAGAGTTACAGAGCATGTATTTGGACTACAAATCCCAGAATTCTCCACACCAGACTCTGCTTGCTGGGGAATTCTGGGGACAGTAATCCCCCAAAGTCATATTTCCAAGCTCTGGCCAGATGTCAATATGTATATTTGTAAATACAAATTTTCAAAATCCACATGGTTCCAATCACAGCAGTTTGGAAGAAAAATAAAAGCTTTGCCTTTAAGGTTCAAAATATTTTTATTAACATTGTACAGGAAGTTTCTCTTCACTACTAAAGCAGAAAGGAATCTCAAGTAAAGTTTTCATCTCAATGAGATGCTTCTTGTTTTTTTTCTTCTCCTAAGCCAAGATTTTTATAAAAGAAAAAAATAACATTTAACTTTTGAATTAAGCTTTATACAAATCAGCCATATGTACATCCCCACACCCTGCACTCCTTATAATACAAGGCAACATAAATAGCAACCTTGACACTGTACAACATCAGAGAATGCTCTTTCCTCTTTTTTTAAAATGCACCACACAGAGTTTTGTTGATTTAAAAAAATATCCATCCAAGGTGGATTTGTTCCTGCTTCTTTTCTTTAAAAAATAAGCCTTCCTCTTTGACAATAGCTTAAAATGACATAACTAGAGCAACACGCAGATCATTTTAACTTTATTAAAAAAATAACTTAAATTATCCCCCAAGTATTTTAAATATGTCCCCTATTTTTTTTAAATAAACATTTCTTTCTCCCGTCCAACCCCTTAAAAGTCCTAAATGAATGTCAAATTCTCAAGTGGTTTAAATTAAGATCAGATGCAGCCCAGAGAAAGCGGATTTTAGTTAATTCTGACACCAGTTCGAACACCTTTTATTTGGAAAAACGAACAGATCTTGACAGTTTAAGGTCCAGAATGTTTCTTGCTTTTCCAGGTTGGTATTTTGTTTTTGTTGGCCTATGTTGAAAGAAACCGGGCCTCTGATAGTGCAATGCAAACCATGCCTATCAAAAAGTTTGCCTCCGTGAGTGAGTCCAGTGGGATTTATTCCTAAGGGAGTGGATGGACAATCTGCAAAATGTAATCTGATGTAAACCTGCATCCCATTAAAAGGATTTTACTTTCCCCTTTTCCTCACCTTGAGTTTTCAACTCCCCCAAGTCAGCTTGTCCAAACCAAAAAATCCAGGGGTCCTTCCACACAGCCCTATATCCCAGAATATCAAAGCAGAATATCCCACAATATCTGTTTTGAACTAGATTATCTGAGTCCACACTCAGATAATGTGGGATTTTCTGCCTTGATATTCTGGGATATATGGCTGTGTGGAAGGGCCCTAGAACTTGTCCCTTTGAGGGCCCTTCCACGCAGCCCTATATCCCAGGATATCATACTGCCAGGGCTCAATGCTTTGGAATCACAGGAGTTGTAGTTTTGCAAGGTCTTTCTCTGCCCAATTGTGCCAGGGTCCTTTCACACAGCCCTATATCCCAGAATATCAAGGCAGAAAATACCACAATATCTGCTTTGAACTGGGTTATCTGAATCCACGCTGCCATATATTACAGTTCAAAGTAGATGTGGGATTTTATTCAGCTGTGTGGAAGGGGGCCTAAGTCCTGTGTAAATTGCACATTCCAGTAGTATAACTTGGATTGACAAGAGAGCTACTACAGGCTGGTAAGGGAAATTAAAATCTTTCATTCCTACCTTCCCAGAATACACTTATATGACCCATGGCCAAACCTTATCCTGTTACAAAACATGCAACTAGGAGAAGAGTTTATCTCTCCTTGGGTTTCTAGTGTAAATCTGAAATAGTCCCGACCCAGCCCCCATTTAGCACTTTCCTTGATGCCTTGATCTCATCTGTATTCAACATGACCACAGGTTCTACAACAGCATCACATTAACACCATATACTGTCCAGTTTTGTATGACCTCTCCATTTCTAAGAAATGACTTCAATTCTAATTCTAATCTAATGATAAAATATAGTAGATTGAGGACCCTTCCAGACAGGCCCTATACCCCAGGATATCATCCCAGGTTTTCTGTTTTGAACTGGATTATATGAGTCTGCACTGCCAGATAATCTGAGATAAACAGAAAATCTGGGATCATATCCTGGGATATAGGGCCTGTTGGGAAGGGCCCTGAATATTAGGTTTTAAAGTCTGGTGCCAATGTCTCCCTGCCCCTTTCTATCATTTCTTGAGTTATTGTAATGCTACCTGGGGTTTTTTTTCCATACAAGTGGGTGGGTCAAGTCTGTTGTAGCAAAAACTGGGAAAATGGTGATATATCTGAAGGACTAGGACATTTATTATGGTGTAAGACTGTTCTCTTCCCCCTCCCAAACTGATATCCTCTAGGTGTGCTGACCTATAGAGCCTATTGTCTGTGGATATACTCATCAAGCAGTCACTGTGTAATTTCTCTTTGATAGAACTGCTTAGATCAATTGACCACTTCACCCTCCTTTTCCCAACAATTCTCCAGTTAAGTTTTCTGTTCTGGATAATTCTGTCTGTTCCAGAATTGGATCTAAGGACACTACTAAAGGGAAATGGTCACTTTCTATGCATTCCAGGATGTCAAAGGTATTTACTTGGGGGAACAGCCCTGGTGATACCATGATGTGATCAATGGCACCGCTGCCTCATTTGCTCAGATATATGTGTAATAGCCTCTAGATAAGTCCTTTGGACTCCCGTGCAAAGTGTATAAGCTGTGATTGTATATGAATTCTAAAAGTTTAATATCCTGCTGATTATATTTGTCATCCATAGAGGTATGTGAAGTTAGAAAAATATCCTCCAAATCTAGCCCTATGGGTTGCAAAAGGCAATCCAGTTGTAGCTCATGTTACCAGAAATGTGCTGCTCTTGTTGGGATAGTGGTACTCTGAAGGACTACATATCTGAACATCGCATCCCATTGGATATAGAGCCTAAATGTGATGTGAGTTACAGGGCAACAAGCTCCAGTCTCTGCTTAAGGTGATACCAAACTTCTGGTTCTTCTGACTGTATATGTGTCAAAGGAAGTGTATAAGAATAAAGAGAAGCATATTTCCTTCACTGTCTTCCTATTCCTGAACTACAAGGATGAGTAAAGACACCAATCCTATGCCTACCACAGATGGCATTGATGGAAGCTGGAAGCCCTGCCAGACCTTATCAAGCCCTCTGAAAAGATGCCTCTTGAAACCAATTTGATAGGGAATATTAAGAAACCAAAATTAAAAAAAAATAAGCCGAACGAACAAGAAGGATCAAGACAACCAGTTGTATAGTCTCTTCCTGGAACCTGGAGTGGTGCCACGTGCCTTTTGGCTTCTTCTCCAGTCAAGCCGAGAGCCTCCCAACTGCATGTCTTCTTGACAAGGCTGACAGTGGTGATTGGGAGAAGAAGCCACCCACAGACCGACCACGCAGGAAGTTGAGCTTTGTAAGGTAGTTCTAGGTGAAACCCATTTAGTTGAGATACAGTACGGACCACAAACTTCCTCCCTCCCACCCACATAACCATCAACCCACCCACCTTTCCCTTTCTGCTGTCCTTAGAAGATTTCTCAATTGTCTTTACCCTGCTGCAGTGCAGTTCTTCCTGAGATGGGATGGAATGCGTACTTTGTCCTACCAAAAAACATCAAAGAGTTTTGACTTGTCTCTGTCTGTTTCTCCCTCTCTCTCCCTCATGCCTTTTTTCCTGCTCTACTGGTTTCATTGAGGAGGCAAAGGAGGTTAATATACTGCTCCAGGATTGGGAGGAGGCCCTGGAGATGGGTGATGCATAGAGCCAGGAGTGGGCGGAGGTCCTTGCTGTTGTATGTGAGGCCCGCTCAGGTTCTGATGATGGTACCAGGAATTGTGGTCCTCCAGGTAGCTGGGCGGAGAGTTATAGGAGAGCGGCTGAGGGAGCTGGCTCCTGTTGGCTGGGTTGTTGTGGGTATTACTGTCCCAGAGGGTGGGAGACGGTGGAGAATTACAAGCCATGGAGTCACTGTTGTTAGGACTGTGTTCCAAGGGGACTTCTCCATTTTTGTAGAGTTTCTTAAACTTGGACCTTCGATTCTGGAACCAGATCTTCACCTGAGGAAAGAACAAAGTTATATTTTGAGTAATGTCTTCTAAGGCAGTTCTAAACCCTTTGGTTGAAAATTGAAAACAGGCTGAACTACCCAAGAAACAAACAAAAAAAAAACTCTGTTAGTGGCTTTTGCTTTCCTCCCATAGAGACACCATAATTAAATATTACAGTCAGATTCATCCCTACCATTGTATTTCCATTTTCTATGAATGCTGAAAAGTGAAGGAAACTGAAAGGAAGAATATGAATTCATTTGGAACATGATGCTGGAGGAGATTGTGAAAAAGACCATTGGTCTGATGCCTACACTGAAGCTATCAATCCAAGATACCTACACTGAAATGATCATACTTTGGACTCACCACCAAAATAACCGACGCATTGTAAATGAAGTCAAAGTAGAAGGAGGTAGGAAAATACCATATTATGGTTGGATTGGCTCAATGAAGGTAGTTTGCACAACCTGAGCAGGGCTATTGAAGTTTCTCATTCATAGGTTTGCCAAAAGTCAAAGTCTTAAGGAGTGTTACTATTGCTCCATCAATTTAATGAAAATTGTTTCACGCTGAGCATCTGCTTTGAATGATCTCTGCCTAAAACCCTGGAGTGCTGCCACCAGTCCATGTAGACAAAAATTAATTCCATGAGTTCAATGGTCTTACTGATATTAAGGCAGATTCCAGTGTCCAATGGTCACTGATTCCAGATCACTGAATCAGGTTCCTTAGAACTAAAAAGAAGGTTAACATCACAACCAAGGCAATGAGCCGTCATCTGGAATACATGGCATGTTGGCTCCAGGCTTAGTTATACACAAAGTAAATCCAGTGAAATCAATAAGACTTACATTACTCATAATATATGTATATGTATGTATTGATTCTGTAGAGTCTGATCTTATTAAAGTTTGGTCCACCTACCAAATCTATGAGCCAATGCATCATTTCTATGAACATAAACCTGTTTGCTTGCAATTCTGTACTGACTGCAGCTGTGGAGCTTATGTAAATTTGGGGGGGGGGGCGACACTTTTTGTGTGAGATGACTGATTGCACAATTCAAGATAAAGGGGACTGGGGAACACTTCATGCCTGCCCACATGGTATTCTAGAACTTCCTAGTAGGCCCAGAACTTAATAACGTTTTGTGAGATTCATAGATTCTACTCTTCAAGCCCATAAATACTGAAAATATTACATATATATTACACTCAGGGAGTTGAACCCACCACACACACACACACACACACACCTCAATCAAGGGCAGGAACCCACCACAAAACATGTTCTAGGACAGAGCCACCATGACAGTAGAGATGGGGTTTAATTCAGATCTTGGTAACAATGTGTTTGGGTGGACCATGGGTTATGGGAACTGTAGTCTAAAATGTCAATTTTCCAAACTCTGAACAAGCCCAGGCATCACAGTTCTTCCTTCACAAAGGTCTGAATGAGACAGGCTTGTTCAGAACACAGTCTTCTTAGTGCTTCCAAAGCTGGGAGGAGGACTTTGATGACAAAATTTAAGGCAGGGCTAAAAGGGTTGCCCTAATAAACTGGAAATCTTTCCACTGTTGCTCATGTTATAGATAGCGCTGTGACTGTATCCAGGTCCCATCTGGAAGACTGAACACATGAAGAACAAAAGAAAGTGGGTGGTGGGTGGGAAGAAAGGAAAATGGAGAAACAAAAGACAGGGAGAGAGAAGGGAGAGACTGCTTATAATTCAAACAAGGAAGTAGGAAGAGTACAGAGTCAATTGAAACTTTTGTGCTTAATTGGGAAAGAGCCAGATTTTTGAGGGGAGGGAAAATATTACTTTCTGATTTTGACTATTTTTGGTTACTTTTTTGGGGAGGGGTGACAGCTTCTATAACCACACAGCCATAGAGCTGCAATTCAAAAAAGTAATTTCCCCTTCCCAATCCCTGGGTAATTAAAACAAAATAGCCAGCAGCATGACACTATGAGCCAAGTCATTTTATATACTAAACAGTGAGCTTAAATATGTGTACCCTGTTTATTTATTTATTTATTAAGCAGTGAAACAATGAAGCGGAAGGGTGCAAAAAAGGTAAACAGATGTCCCAAAGTCAGCCAGTGTCCTCATAAGAAGGGTTTACATTACAATAATCCAAGCCAGTAAAACAATTCCTCATGATCCACAGTCAACATGCCTGATCTATGCCTTCCACATAGCTCTGTATCCCAGAATATCAAGGCCAGAAATCCCACAATATCCGCTTTGAACTGGGTTTTCTGAGTCCACACTCAGATAATGTGGGATTTTCTGCCTTGATATTCTGGGATATAGGGCTGTGTGGAAGGGCCCCTAGAGAGCATCATGATGAGAGAAGTTGCAAGAGAGTGTAATGAGAAAGTAGGATATTGGATCCAGACTTCGGGTGCACCCACACTGCAGAATTAATGCAGTTTGACTCTACTTTAACTGCCTTGCCTTAATGCTATGGAGTACTGGGATTTGGAGTTTGATGAGGCACCAATATTCTTTGATAGACAAAGCTAAAGACCTTGTAAAAGTGCAATTCCCATTATTCTATAGCATCAAGTTATGGCAATCATATGTTAAGTAGACCAAGTGGAGCTTTAAGAAATTAAATGAAACTTTTATAAAACTAGCCATTTCCTGCCATGCATTGCTGTGGACCATTCTGTGTATATGTGTTTTGTGTGTGTATGTATGTGTATATGTGTGCATATGTGTGTTTTTGTGATTATATGTGAGTTTGCGCATGCATTGTAATGTATTTTTAATTTTTTTGACTTTTTAAGTCTCTTCTGCTGTGTTTTTCAGTGTTTTATGAGTGATGGTCACTCGTTGGTCTGATAGGTATATTGTGTCCAAATTTGGTGTCAATTCATCCAGTGGTTTTTGAGTTATTTTAATCCCACAAATGAACATTATATTTTTATTTATATATAGATGTATATAAATTTCACTGTTTCAATAGATCTGCTCTAGTGGAGACAATCAAATGGATTTAAGAGAAAGTTTGCCTATGACTCTTTGTGTCACAGAGTTCAGTCTTGCATTATTTAAATAATATCCAAAAGGTACCACTTCATAGGTTCTGCTATGGACCACAGGGCACATTCCATCTGCAATACCTCTTGGCAAGCCCCACTGAAGTGAATGTGAATCATGCTAAGGAAGTGCCATGGATCRTGCGCTCAAACAATATGCCCGTTTACACAACCTATAAGGAAGGAGTTTAGGAAAGGATTKAATTATGCCAAATCACTTTTTTTCTTTTTGTGAAAAAACAGTTTCACAAGAAAGTCAGAAATAAAATACAAAGATGGAAAGTGGAATAAAMAATTAGTAGAGCCCACTGATATTTTCCTCAAGTCGGGCATATTTTTGAAATTGCTCAAGATTAAAGGAACAGCTCCCCCTCATGTCCAAAAAAATGCAATTGTGGCCATTTTTCTCAGCCCTTAGAAAAAAGTCTCTCTTTAGAAAACAAGTGTGATACCTATAGTGTATTTTAACCTGTTTTTATGGTGAGGATTACATTTAAAGAGCATCTCAGCTCCTACAAGTGTCCTACAGGGAGGCATGCAATACTCTTGTTATACCTTTCTCCAGTATAACACCTCTCATCCTCGTAAACACCCTAGCAACTCCCAACCCATAAATCCTTGTGACACTCAGAGGAAGTAACATTTGGGAAAAAMCAACACCCAGCCTTTTGACTCTAGTTTGGGTTGAAGAACCTGTAGTCCTCTAGATACTGTCACACCACAACCTARCTTTATTTCTGACCACTGGACCTGCTCGTTAGGATTAATGGGAACTGGTATCCAACAATATCTGGGAAGCCACAGACATCCCCATCCTATAATATCTTTATGAGTTATATTCTATTTTCTACTCTCTGTGGATCCAACCTAGTGGTTCTTTGCCTTTGGTCCCACAGCTGCTTTGGACTTCAAAAGTTGGACTTCCCAAAATTCCTGACAATTGACTATGCCGGCTGAGATTTCTGGGAGTTGAAGACTGAAATACCTGGAAAATCCCAGTTTGAGACTCATTGATCTAAGCAATAATAGGAAATATTATACCAGAACTTGGGAATCTCTGGCCCTCAAAGTATTTTAAAATATATATTCCATAAGTTCTGTAAAGCATTGTTGATAGTTTAGGCAATGAGAGTTGTAGTCCACAGTGTTAGAAAAGTGTGTAGGTTCCCCATTCCATCTTACATTATCATAGGCCTCTTGTAGCAAAGGTGAGAGATGTATAACCTTCAGATATTGAATTGTAATCCCCATCAACATTAAACTAGCTAATGATGAGATATGATGAGATATGTTCTTCAACACTTTGATGATCACTAGTTCCCCAATTCAAGATCCACCTATCCCCCTTACCAACTCACTCTACTCCCTGCAATCTGTCTATGCCAATCTGACCAGACTTATGATCACCAGATATTTTAGATTTCAAGGCCATCATTCCTAATTAGTTGTCTGGTGCTAGGTCTGCAAGGAGAATATTGTGTTATGGATGAGTTTTCTATGCAGTTCCAACTTGGGCAAAGAACTGGTTCATGCAGAGCAAAATTGCCCTAGGTGGCTCACGGAAGTGAGCCAAGCAAAGGAGAAGACAAGTGTCTCCTTCAACCACCAGTTGGTCTGTCCTTGGGGAAAATTCTTGCCTTGACAAATCACATGGACAAGATGGTCATTATGAGCAAAACCCCATCCTGTATATGGCCAAAAGCTTTAGATGACTCAGACCAGTAATCCAAACACTACACATCAAAAATACCCCAGGGGTCACTTGCCAATGTGACCCTAAGGGGGAAAAATGCCTTCCAGATAATCTCAGGACTGTCAGTGGCAGCATCAGAGAGTGGGGGGAACTAATCCACTCATCCCGAGAACATCTTTACTAGGTAGTGCCTTCAGGTGATGGCCACCGCACAACATTCTTGGCCAATCTGAACCCGGAAGCACGCCAGTCTACTGCCTTATTT